AAGGCCCTGCCCCGCCCCATGCCCAGCCGTGCCCAGACAAACACTTTCAGGAATCGAGGGCCACCTCAAGTGCCTGGGAGCACAGGTCCTTTCTGGCCACACTGGCCTTTCTTGCCATTCCTCAAACACACCAGATTGTTCACTACTCTAAGCTTTGGCTTCTATTGCTTCCAGACCACATATTATTGGCTCCATGGTACCATTCATGGCGCATTTCAAGAGTTACCTCCTCCTAGAGGCCTCCCCTGACCACCTACTGTACTTTTCCCCCAGAACCCCACACGGTTCAACTCCTCATTTCTGCAGGTCTTTGCTTCTTTGCTCAGATGTCGCCTTAAGAAGCTTTTCTTGATCACCCTATTTAAAAACTATACACCTGCCCACCCAGCTCTCATCGTACCTTCCTGCTTTCCTTCTCTGTCTGACATCCTCGATCTTTCATTGCCTGTTTACTGTCTTACTCTTCCCGCTGGAATGTCAGCTCCAAGAGTGCAGTGATATTGTCAGATTTGTTTACTGCTATATCGCCAGCATCTAGAAAAGTGCTTGGCATGTAGTAGGAACTCAGTAAATGTTTGATGAGTGTATGTGAATAAGTGTATATGAATGTTTAAGAGCAGGGGCTCTGATCAGACTGTCTGGGGTCTCACCTCAGCTCTTCCACTTACTATGTTATCTTGGACCATTCGTTTAATCTCTGAGACTCAATTTAATTAATCAGTAAGTAAAAGAATAACAACAGTACCTACCGCATAGGATTATAGGGGGATTAAATAAGATCATGCATGTAAAGAGGTGAAAACACTGCCTGGTGCCCAGAAAGCACTCTGTACTATACCGGCTGCCATCACAGCCTTCACCAGCATTTGTTTATTTGCTCACTTGTTTATCATCTGTCTCCTCTGCTCTAGTGTCAGCTCCAGCCTGCCTTGCTCACTACTGTACCTCCAGTTCCTAGCACAGTGTAAGAAGAGAAAACCAGGTCCCCTCTTAAATCAAGCAATGTGGAGCTGGGAGACACAGCTGGAGTGGGAGGCTCACCGATTTGTTTCTCCAGGGCGGCTGCCTCACAGACAGTGGCCCGGGGCAGGATTCCAGGGTCAGTGAAACTTGTCTGCAGCAGGCAGCTCATGACGAAGAAGAAGAGGATGGCGGCGATGATGGGGATGGCGAGGGTCAGCTGGCGAGCCAGGAAGGGACAGCTAGAAAAAGAGAGAGAGAAAGAGAGATGAGAAGATACCCCAAGGGCTCACTGGGACACAGGGCGACAGCACTGGGCAGGTGTTGTCATCCTAGCAAATATCACCACATGCTTGAATAGAGCCTCTCCCGGAAGCAGCAGCCACTCACCCATTAGTGCCTAGACAAGACATTACTAACTGATCCTTGGAATTTCTCCGAGCCATGGCAGATGTGATCAATAGATCCCAGCACTCTTGACCCCTGCACTTAACTACAACCTCAGAATCCTTCGAAATGCAGAGCTTCAGGCAGCCACTACCAATGAACTGGGATGTCTCTTGAGATGAACAATCTGTGACAATGTACACTCGTTCATTCAGTCGGTCACTCACTCCACAAATATTTACTGAGGTCTTCTACATGCCAAGCAATACCCTCAGTAAGAAAGAGGAATACTGACAGTGAATAAGAGTCTCCTGTTCCTTCAGCAAGGTTACGGTCTAGTGGGGAGAACAGACATGTAAACGGAGAACTGCCACACAGGGTCTTGTGTGCTATAACAGGGAAGGGGACAGCAGCAGAGCAGTCAGGAAAGGCTGGCTGAAGGAGATGTCTAAGCTAAAACCTAAATAATGCGTAGGATCAGCCAGGTGAAGGGGGTTGGGAAAGATTATGGTCCAGCCACTGCCATTATTACCCAAGGGCTGGTGTCCAAAGTCAGTGTGGTCAGGCCCCTGCCCCTAGCTAACTTAGAGAATACCCTGCACACAGGTCTACCTTTGAGACCCACCCATATCATCAACCATTGTCCTGTGCTGCCGTCCCTCCCAGAGCCAGACTGGCACCTGATGGGGCGAGGAGCGTTTGAGAGATGGCTGGCCACTGAGAGGCCCAGATCAGCCAAGGTTCCAGGAGCTGACGTAGTAGCAGGAAGCGAACCCATGGGCACCTACGTGCTGTTTCTGGAGCCTCCATCATCGGAGGCTCTGGCTGCCAGAGAAGCCCATCGCTTGAGGAGCAGAGAATGCTAATGCCAAGGCTCCAAGTGGGCAACATTCTGCTCCAAACATCTCAGTGCTCCCCAGTTTGGAACCTCAAATAGAGCCAGGCCCTCCATGTCACTCCCATGACAACTCAACTAGTTCATGTCCATTCAGACTTCTTGGGGGATGGAGAAGACCTGAAGTCTGAGACTTGTAGAGCCCTCGGAAACACCAGGTCCTAGCCCCCTGATTTTACAAAGGGGGACCCAGAGGCCCACAGCCAGATCCAAGGACAGGACAAGGGTCTCTAAGCTCCCAGTAAATGTTCTGCCCATTCAACAAATATTTACTATATTGAGCACCTGCTAAATATTTATTGAGCACCTGCTAAATAAATATTTACTATATTGAGCACCTGCTAAATACCCTGTTCTAGGCACTGAGGATAGGACAGTGAAGAGAATAAAGTCCTACTCTATAGAGAAAGACAAGAAACTAACAAAAAGTCTACATATGGTATGCCCGATGACAACAATAAGTCAAGGCAGAGGGGGGATGTGGGACAGGGACTGGTTTGCTATTATAGGGATGGTCAGGTAAGGACGGAAGCAAGTGAGGGAGTGTGAAGCTACCTAAAAGAAGGGTGTTCTAAAAGTACAAGGTCCTGGGGTAGGAGTGTGCGAGGAGGCCGACATGCCTGGGGGGCAATGCACAGGGGTAGTGGGAGGAGATAGGAACAGGGAGGAAGCCCGTTATCAGGTCTCTGGCCCTAATCAAGACAGCCAAGGAGGACTCAGGTCTGCTTTACAATGAAAGGAGCACTCTGGATGCTGGGAAGCAGGGCAGGAGCCGGGAGCCCTGCTGGGAGGCCTATGTAATAATCCAATGAACCAAACAATGGAGCAAAACCATTCTCAGCAAGAAGGACCTTGACAGCCACCTTTCACTTTCCCCAGAGCAATGGGTGGACATCACTCTCCATGATTTCACCAACGGCATTCCCATCATGCCAGCTCCCTATTGAGCCCTCACCCTAATCCAAACGGAGGTGAGCTCTCTGCCCAAATCCACCCTTCCCCCACCCCAGCCCAGCCAACCTCACCACCCTAAATGAGGAGGAACAGACATAAAGGCAAGATGATTCACAAGCACTCCATGAACCCAGAAGTCCTCACTTCTTCTCCTTCTGGGGACAAGTCTGTCACCGATGAAAATACCCAGTCAGCCCAGAGAAGATCCTGCTTCTGAACTGAACAAATCCCACACTGCAGGTCACCAGGCCAACCCACAGCAAGCACCACTTCCTCCTGCCCTTGCTATAGCCCTGGTGGGAGAACTGGGCGGGATACTGGAAAAGGCACTTTCAAAACACCCATGTGGGCCGGCCCAGCAAGGTGGATCTGATACTCAGTCCAGGGGTGATGGTGGGAGGTGTGAGGGGGGGCTTGCTCCCCAGAGCTTCTGCTTGTTAAATTACCCTTGAACTTTGTATCCAACCTGACTCAGAAAGGAAAGGTGAAAGGGAGAAGTTAATTTGTATAAAGTTCTCACCTTGCTTCATGGGGAAACCCGAGGTTGCAGATACATGATCTGGCAGCTGAAAAGGGTACCTGGGGTTAGTGTCTTTGTGGCAGCCTCATCATGGCCACAGGCCCTGGGGAAGGGTGTTTTGGCGAAGACAACAGTAATAGCAGCCAGCATTAAGTGCTTGTTATGGGCTAAAAGCTTATGTGTGTGACTTTATGCCACCCTCGTGACAACCTTAGGGGGTGGGTACTATTATAAATCCCATTTTACAGATTAGAAACCGGGGCTCTGAGAGGTGAAATGACTTCCCTGAAGTCACACAATTAGTGTCGTAGAGCTGGTATTTGAACCAGGTCTCTTGGCTCCAGAAATGGCATTCTTAACCACAGTGTATGGTGAAGTGAGACCACAAAGGATGGAAAGAACTAGGAAGGGGCAGGGGGCTCGTGTAGCATGGGGTGAGTGTGCACGTGTGTGCACCTGTGGTTGTGTGTGTGCAAGGAATCACGTAGCAGGTGGCTCATGCTAGAGACCAAGGGTAGGGTGGAAAACTTTCGACACAAATGTGTGACCCTGGTAAAGTGACAGGATCCTCTCTTCATCCATCAAAGGGAAGTACCATGTGGGCCAATCCTGGGTCACTGGGGATATGAAGAGGTCAAATCCATGGGGCAAATGTGACCTGTCACATGAAAGTACTCTGGATTCTCCTGAAAAAATAAAGAGGCGCAGTAGCTGTTCCTGCTGTGGAACAGGCCAGAGGGAAGCCAGAATGTGGAGGAGAAAGAAAGCCAGGTCAGGAGGTGGAGGAGAGGTGCTTGGGAGATGTCTGGGGAGACAGGAGGAGACTGAGGAAGGACAGGAAGCTATTGAGAAACTAAGGAAAGTGCTGGAGAGGGAAAAGGAGGCCTGAGGAACCCAAAGATGTTTAAGAAAAGATTTCCTGAGGACCCAGGGTGAGAATGACTGATGGGGAAGCAAGGAGGGAGGGTCTGAGAGTAGAGACGTGACTTAGGGGACCCTAGAGGGACCTGGGAGGGAAGGGGAAGAGGGCTACGAAATTTGTGGTGGGGAGTATATAGCCAAAGAACACGGAAGATTCAGAAGTTGTCTGGAAGGAAGAGAAAAAAAAGATGCCTCAAAGGGTCAGAAAGAGCCTGGGGTGGGGAGAGCTGGAGCCGTTCCTGGGGATGCGCGAGGCTGAGGGGATCTGTCCAAGGAGCCAGGGAGGACTGCGGAGGGTGCAGATTCTGAGAAGGAAGAGAGGATGGGGGTCAAGGGACTTGGGAGGACAGTGTTCTTGGCAGAGGCTGGCAAAGGCAGGATGTCAGGGAAAGATGAAGGTGCTAGGGCGGAGCCACAGAGGATGGGATGGCTGGGAGGGCGGCGGGGACCAGCAGGGACGGGGTATCCAAACGGGCAAGGAGGACGAGGAGTCTGGGAGGCGCGGCGGAGACCAAGGAGGACGGATAAGAAGTGTGCAAGGAGACGGAGAGGCTCAGGGAGGATGCAGGCCCCGGAGGAGCAGGGAGCGGCGGGTGCCTGGCAGGTGTTGGGAAGGGTGGAGTGTCGGGTGCTCGGAGAGGATGGATGCCCAGCGGGGACCAGCGGTGCTGGAGTTCCCATCGAGAGCTGGGGAAGGTGGGGTGCACGGCAAAGAGAGGGGACCAGAGAGGACGGGTTGCCTGAGGGGGCGGGGTCGGGGGCGCCGCCGAACTCACTCGAAGACGAAGAAGAGGATGGTGGTGGTGAGGATGAGCAGCAGCGTGAGCGCGAAGACGCCGCCGTGGCCGGCCAGCATGAGGCGGCCGCCGCAGTAGAAGCGGTTGCGGCCCGGGAACACCTCCCACTG